CAGATTGTTGCGGGCAATATGCTGACTCTGTAAACTGCTTACCAAAGGCTGCAAAGCACTATGAAGCATTGTATAAGTCTAAGTGCTTTTGCTATTATCATTACGTGCAGAGTAACAGAGTTGGAAGGGAACTTGGAGGTCTTTTAATCCAATCCCCTGCTTAGGTAGGAAGTCCTATACCATTTCAGACAAATGACTGTCTAATCGTTTCTTAACAAACTCTAGTGATGAAGCTCCCAGAACATTTGAAGGCAAGCTATTCCACTGATTAATTGTTCTAATCAGAAGTGGTATTCAGCAGGTTCTGACCTTTTCTGGAGAACCGGTAGCTTAAATTTTGAGTCGTTTGAAGAACTGGCAAATACCACCTCTGACTGGCCCCACCCCCATCTATTCTCTGCCTCCTGAGTCCCAGCTGATCAGTTGGGTCTTATTTTGTTGCTCTGCAGAGGAGAACAGAGCTGGAAAGCAGGTTGATGGGGTGGGGAGGGATTTTGCAGTATTCTTCCCCTGCCATGCCCACCAAGCCACACCCACCAAGCCACGCCCACAGAACAAGTAATAAAAATTTTTGAATCCCACCACTGGGTCTAATAGTCAGGAAATTTCTCTTTAGTTCTAGGCGGGTTTACTCCTTATTTAGTTTCCATCCATTGCTTCTTGTTCTGCCTTCATGTGCTTTGGGAAATAGTTTGACCCCCTCTTCTTTGTGGTAGCCTCTTAGATATTGGAACATTGCTGTCATGTCATCCCTATTCCTTCTTTTCATTAAACTATGCATTCCTATTCTTCATATGTTTTAGCCTCGAGTTCCCTAATCATTTTTGTTGCTCTTTTCTGCATTCTTTTTAGAAACTCAACATCATTTTTTGTTGTGGTGACCAAAACTAGATTCAATATTTAAAGTGTGGCCTTACCAAAGCCTTATAAAGTGATATTAAGACTTTATGTGATTTGATTCTATCCCTCTGTTAATGCTATCAATTCATTGTCCACATGTGGCCACATAGTAGACTTTATCCACAATGACCTGTCCCTAACCTGGTCTTCCAACTTTTCCTATAGTGCCTATATTGTATCTGTCAATCAATCTTGCTGCTGGTCATCCTTTTGTTCTCCTTCTTCCTACCTTCCCCAGCATTAGAATCTTTTTCTAGGGAGCTATATATTTGCATAAAGTGTCCAAAGTAGAATAGTTTGAGTGAGGTGATTTGTGCCTGAAGTAAGAATTCTGGGGCAATTTATGCAGTTATTTGCATTCTTGGTTGTTCATGATATTCTTGGGAGCCTTCTCTAGTGGAAAAGCACAGAAATTTCAATATCCTTCCTGTCTTGCTTCTTTAAACTTCAAATTTTGCTTCTCTATGAACAAGATGGCTTTCATGATTCTGATCTTTGTAGATATAAACATACCATGGTATTTGAACACAATTTCCAAGACATTCATACATTTATTTATTTATTATTTTTATTTGTCTAGCATGTATTAGATAACAAATATAATTAGAACATAATTATGATTACATAAAATAGGTACAAATAAAAGGGAGAGATTAGGACAGGGATGGTAGGCACATTGGTGTGCTTATGCATGCCCCTTACAGACCTCTTAGAAATGGGGTGAAATGAACAGTAGACAGTGTAAGGTTAAAGTTTTGGGAGTTTGGGGAAGAAACCACAGAGTCAGGTAGTACATTCTAGGCATTGACAACTCTGTTGCTGAAGTTGTATTTTCTGCAGTTTGGAGTGATTTACCTTAAGTTTGTATCTATTTTGTGCTCATGTATTGTTGTGATCGAAGCTGAAGTAGTTATTGACAGGTAGTACATTGTAGCAGATAATTTTGTGTACTATGCTTAGGTCAGACTGAAGCAACCAAAAAGATATTCTTGGTTGCTCTACTAAGTGCTAGTCTGCAACATATCCCTTCACTGCTTTCCTTTAGTATTGATGGTTGATCTGAAAAGGCAGAAGTTGCCTACTACCACAATATCTTCATTAAATTCTAATGTAAACTGACACTGATATGAGTTCAACTGACCTGTACTAAAATCCAGAAATAAAAGGTTTTGATCATATTCTTTATTCAGGGATGTATTGTATTTTGCTAGAGAAAAAGAAAGAACCTCCCAAAGAAGCCTCTATTGTATTTATTACCTATTGAAAAATATTAATTTGCTAATCAGTTGAAATTTATCAGTATCCTCTCTTAGAATTATTGTTTTATTATTATATTAATTACCTTCTGTTTTCAGGTACTACCGTGTCCAATTGTTCAGACTTTTTGACTTTCTAATTGACAATTGTTAAGTCAGGGGTGTTATGTGGCAGGTATTACATAAACCAGCATGATGTAAATAAAATTATTAGTTTAAACATACTTTAAAAAAGCTTCTAGGCACATAAATTAAAAAGTATTATGACTATTGCCTAGGACTTTTCTTTTAAATGGGAAATTATTGAGAAAAATAAAAATAAAACCCAATGTGATTTGGAAATGTTCTATGCCATCAGGAATATTTCATTCACAAATTAGTATATCTGGCTTATCTCAAGACAGACAAACACTAGAAGGCTGAAAGAGGAGACAACTTTTGCTAATTGATTGGTTTTTTTTAATTGTTCTGACTAGGAACAATTTTTATCAGAATGCACATACCATCTTACCCCAAAAATACAACCTCCTCAGAAAGTAAGTCCTAGCTTGATTTTCACACATGTGACCAATATAAGCCTTATCCCCCCCCAAATAAGCCCTAATTAAGATCCCCGCCCACTCCAGGGTACACAGGTAAAAATTAAGCTAGGGTGGGAATGGGGAGGTAGAGCTGCCCTACTACTTACCCTTGGACAGTCGTATAGAAGGCCTCGCACACCTCAGCCCATTTCTTCTGCAGTCAGCAAGACTTTCCTGAAGGCCTCTGTAGCCAATAACAGAAATCCAGATCGATCCAGAACTCTGTTACTGGCTTCAGAAACCTTTCCTAAAGGCCTCCGTAGCTGATAACAGAGCTCCGGATTGATGTGGAGCTCTGTTATTGGGTTGAAGAGGCCTTCAGGAAATCCTTGCTGGCCTTTCTGGATGAAGAAATTCCTGAAGGCCTATGACAACGAAAAGGAGGCTGGGGGCAATGCGAGCAAATGAGGTGAGTCTGTGGACAACATTCACCCCCCCCAAAATAAGATCTAATTACCTTTTCAGTGGCAAAAAAATAAAACAGGCTCTTATTTTTGGGGAACACAGGTAGCACACTGTCAATTCCATGTGTTGTGACTTCTACATTGCATAACAATTTGTTGTGTGTAAAATAAGGTTTAGGTTTGAATCCTTTGCTAAGCATGGTATTTATTCCCAGGCATACCTTATTTATTGTCCTTCTTATTCATCAATTAACCTTCAACTCCATGTTCAAGGAAAACATTCCGTGATTCAAGCCTATTCAGTTTATTGATTTATTACTCTAAATCAACAAGCATTTGTAACTTTCTTCCATGGTGCAATCATTTACGGGGACAAATATAAAGTTAATTAATGTCATTGCATCCTACAAGTTAGTATAGTTTGACAATTGAAGTATCAGCTATACTTCTGCCTGGTAACTTTTGGCTATGGCTATCATGACAACACTATTTGAAGATCCTGAATACTTCAGATAAATGTCTTAAAAATGGAGGGGTAGATCCAGCCAGGAGAGAAGCTGACCTGACTGTGGCCATTTTATTTTCTTCTCTGTAGTTTTTCTCTAGGGATTTCTTTTCACATGGCTTCAGGCTTGACATACCCTGGAGCTCAGGGGGCAGTAGAGATAGTTGGGGTTTTGTAGCCAAAACAATATAGTTATCTTATGACTCAGTGACATTCCAATGATTGGCTGCCCAGAGGAGGAGAACAAAAGTAACCAGGCAACCAGCCAGCACCCAGATTGGACAATATGATTTATTGTTTGGCAAAACAGGAAACTTGCACTTTTTAATGAGGTGGAAAGTGCAGGAACATTCAGAGTTGGCTTTCTCCCAGTCTGTACCATGATGATATCTCATAATAAAACTGTTCTTTGATGAATCAACCTGCCTCAGAGTTCAGTTTGCAATGGGTGTATTACTTAGAACCCTGACAAGATCTACAGTAAGAATGGTGTGGGTTCAAATATAGTATGCCTGTTCAAGTATAGAAACTTCTTTCATCTGGAATTTAAGGTTCATAAAATCTAATGTACCTATCACAGATAAAGCACAACAAGACTTATCAAGTGTTTATTGAAAATCTTAAATCACCCTCTAAACACCCCCTCGTGTATGATATAAATACAAATTGATTCATTTCTTTTATGCACACTGAGTTATATCAGAGAAAGTTTAATCTTCAGATGAAAGCCATTATATGAAACATTTTACAAATAAAATAACATTGATTTATTTATTATAGTATTTGCAGATGTTAAAAGACAATATTGCTTTTGTATAATGTATTGTATCAAATTATATTTCCTTTTTATTATTTGATAATGAATATCTTTCACTGGTTTGTATAAATCCTGTAAACTTGCATGAATAAATCAGGGTACAATTAAATGGGGATATAGTTAAAAACAAAAAAAATATCTGTAACTTTGATTATTAATATAATTTAATAAGTCTTAAAAGAACTCAACTTCTATATAATATAGAAGCCCAGGTTGTACAGGGATTACAATGCAATATTATAGACTAACTCTGTCCACAGTCTGGAGTTTGATTCTGACGGGCTTGGGGTTGAGTCAGCCTTCCATCCTTCCTAGGTTGGTAAAATGAGGACCCAGATTGTTGGGGGTAATATGCTGATTCTGTAAACCGCTTAGAGAGTACCGTACAGTACAATGAAGTCATATGTAAGACTAAGTGTTACTGCTAGTGCTATATAATAAAGCCTGTTATAGAGTCTGTCTGAGCATTTGTTTGATTGATAAAGAAAAGAAACTTGTAGGTATATTAAGTAAATTTGCATTTGTTTTTCATTCTAGGTTATTCAAATTAATTTTGAAGAATTTGACCTGGAAATTGGCTATGATACACTAACAATTGGAGATGGAGGTGAAGTAGGTGATCCTAGAACTGTGCTTCAAGTGTAAGTCTCCATAATCTCTATCCTGGTGAAATAATGGTTTGTTCAATCTCACCAAAGAATGAAAAAGAGCAGTCCTCCTATTCACATGGCTTTTAAATATGAATATAATTTCAAATTCACATGAGAATGTATAGCAAACCAAATATGTTAAAGGTAAAATAAATCACATTATCTTTATGTTGGCTGTTGATCCTAACATCATTTGTTTTATTATGATCATGTGAGCACAGAGCACAGAAGCAATGCATTTTAAATGTAAAATATTTTACAGGCATACACATGTATTATTTCTCCATTTTAAGTTGACAAAATACATAATATAACATTATAATCTCTGGGGTCCTTCGTGCTCTCTGAGGTTGGTTGCACACATTTCATTACCCAACTAAGTAACATCATCAGTGCTAGTGCAATCTCTCTGGAGCTGCTTTGTGATATTTTTTTCCCAAATGCCATCACTCTGCTAAACAAATAATTCCCTGAACACTCTCCACCTATTTACAAAGTCTGCATTACTATTACTATTAATCTTCTCAACACTCCTATCACCCATCCCGTCCCACTTGTGACTGTATGACTGTAACTTGTCGCTTGTAACCTTATAATTTATATTGACTGTTTCCTAGTATGATTGAGTTGCTTATTATACCCTATGACTATTATTAAGTGTTGTACCTTATGATTCCTGACTCTTGACAAATGTATCTTTTCTTTTATGTACATTGAGAGTATATGCACCAAGACAAATTCCTTGTGTGTCCAATCACAGGCAACAATGATGTCACCAGCTAATCTTTTCAATCCAGAAGTGCCTTAGTGATTCTGACATAAGTGCAAAAAAAATGACATTGAACTTCAATCTGATTTCATATCATGATAATCTTTAAATTCATCTAATATAGCTTTAGTTTTATCATTTTCTAATATTCAACCTTGCATACTTACTGATTTCTCCGCTCTTTAATTTCTCAATCTCCCTTAGATAAATATAAATCATTTTTCTCTGCATGTCTAGTCTAGTTTAAGATGCTAATGTTTTGTAGTAGCCAGTTCAAAGTAAGATATACATTTAACAAGACTAATGAAATTACACTGATTTGTTATGAATGCAAATGACTGTTCTATCATTTTTTTCTTATCAGAGTATTATTCAGAGCATTGTTAGCTTCACAGTAAAGTTACCACTATATTATAATAAAGAAGCTATAGTAGACAAATATGTGCAGATAATTTGCTGATTTTTTTTCAAAATGCAGTAGTCAAGCTGAGCATAACTGTCTCAAAGTTATTTCATGTTCCAATCGCATTTTTATATATATCTTTGGTTATTCGGGTTTTCTCCCACGTAAGATTGGAAGTATCTAGGCAAAGTTTCGATGAAGTCTCATTCATCATCTTCAGGCTTCTGTCTTCATCTCTGTGCTTCTCAGAGTGATGTGAGCTTGCAGCTGCTTCTTCCTTTTAACTGCTAGTGGGGGTGTGACTTGATTGGTTGGGGGTTTGGCTGTGTTCTGATTGGTTGGGGGGTTGGCCATGTTCTGATTGGCTGGAGGTGTGTTCTGTTCAGGTGGGGGCTTGGTTGTGCTCAGGTTGGTCTTAGTTACTGGGGGATTTGAGCTGGTGAGCTGTGATCTTGCTGTTTGGCTTCGAGTTCGTGGTCGTGCTGCATCTTCATGGTGGGGGTCAGTTCGCTTCATGTATGGCTCAGAGGGGTTTGAAGTGGGTAGTGATGCAGCTGCAGTGCGGCTTCTGGTCTGTGGTCGTGTCTCATCTTCTGTGTGGGTGTGAGTCTGCTTTTTACGTGGAAGTGTGGTGGTGGCATCTTGTGTGGCCCTCATGGGTGTGGGTCTGGTGTCATTCATCATGTTAGGTATTCGTCTGTTCATGAGGGCGGGTTTCCAAATGGCTGGTAAGCGGGAGGTGTCATCTCTTTTATTCATGCTGTGTGGGTGTTTTTCTATCTCTATGGCTTCTCTGATTATTCTGTTGTTGAAGTGTTCAGTTTTGGCGATAGTTCTGGTATTTTTAAAGTCAATCTCATGTCCTGTGGCTTTGAGGTGTTGGACCAGGGAAGAGGTCGGTTCTTCTTTTTTGATTGAGTTCTTATGTTCTTCAACGCGTGCACTTATTCTCCTGTTAGTTTGTCCAATGTATGTGGTGGGGCAGGCGGTGCAAGGGATTTCGTATACTCCTTGGTTTTCTAACTCGATTTTGTCTTTAGGGTTTCTTAGGATGGTGGATATTTTTCTGTTTGTGCAGAATGCTGTTTTAATGTGTTTTTGGAGGATCTTGCTGATTTTGTCTGTAGTGCCTTTTATATATGGGAGGAGGGCTTTGCCGTTCTCTTGTTCTCTGTCTTGGATTTTGGTTGGGGTTTCTTTTTGGATTAGGTGGGTAATCTTCTTTCTTTGGAATCCATTGGCTGTTAGTACGTAGGTGAGAGTGTTTAGTTCGGTTTTTAGGTGTTGTTCATCAGCTAAGCATTTTGTTCTGGAGATGAGTGTCTCAGCTACGGAATTGATCTGTGCTGGGTGGTGGTGTGAGAGTGCATGTAGATAGCGGTTTGTATGTGTTTTCTTCTGGTAGATGGTGTGTCCTAGGGAGCCATTGGGTTTTTTGTATACCAGGACATCTAGGAAGGGAAGTTGATTGTTAGCTTCTGTTTCCATGGTGAATTGTATTTTGGGGTGTAGGCTGTTGAGGTGAGTGAGGAAGTTGTTCAGTTTTTCTTTCCCGTGTGGCCAGATTATGAAGGTGTCATCTACATATCTGAGCCAGAGTTTGGGTTTGTGATCATATTTTTCTAGAGCTTGTGTTTCAAAGTGTTCCATGTAGAGGTTTGCGATGACAGGTGAGAGGGGTGATCCCATGGGTGCTCCTTCTATTTGTTTGTATTTTTGTCCATTGTAGGTGAAGTATGTATTGGATAGACAGTGGTTGGTCAGATCTAGGATGTGCTTGGGGGGGTTGTATTTGTTTTGGATGGCTGTCAAGGCTTCTTTTATTGGCACTTGGGTGAAGAGGGATATGACATCGAAGCTAACTAGTAGGGCGCTGGGTTGTAAGTTTTGTTTCTTTATGATCTTGATGAACTGGAATGAGTTTCTTACATGTGAGTTGATGGATTCTGCATAGGGCTGTAGTTGTTTGGCGAGAAATTTGGCTAGGTTTTGTAGAGGTGAGCCTATGGAGCTGACTATTGGTCTAAGTGGAGTTCCTTCTTTGTGTATCTTGGGGAGACCATAAAGCTTCGGGCATCTGGATGATTTCTCTCTGGGTATGATTCTTTGCTGGATTTCTTCACTGATGGGGGAGGCTTTTATTTTGGATCTGGTGGTTTTTTCTAGGTAGGTGGTGGGGTCTGTCTTTAGGGGTTTGTATGTGGGGTCTAGGAGTAGGTTGGTTAACTTGGTTTGGTAGTCAGATGTGTTCATAACCACTGTCGCGTTGCCCTTGTCTGCTGGTAGGATTATTATGCTGGTGTCTTCTTTCAGGTTACGTAGTGCAGTTTGTTCTTCTTTGGATAAGTTGCTTTTGGGTGGTTTGCTAGTGCAGAGGATGTTGGTGATTTCGAGTCTGATTCTATTAGCCTCATCAGGGTTGGTTTTGGTCAGGCTGGTTTCAACTCCGCATATGATGGTTTCTGTGGGGATGTGTTTGGGAGCGACAGCAAAGTTGAATCCTTTTGAAAGGACCTTGGTTTCGGCTTCGGTGAGGATCTTGTCTGAGATGTTGTGCACTGTTTGTTTCATGTGTGGCTGTGAGGGGGGGAGGAGTTGGTTTCTGGCGTTGTTGTAGTTTTCTGAGTTTGTTGGTGTGTGTGTCTGTCTTGAGGGTGGTCTGTGTTTTGCTCTCCAGACAGCGAGTTGTTTGGATTTGTCCCAAAGTAAGGGGTGAATCTTGTTGCTGAGTCTGAGGTGAAGTGTGAGGAGATCTTTGTTGATTTGGTCTAGGAGAAATCTTTTTGTGTGAAGTTCATTTCTAATTAGGGCCAATTCTGTTCTTTTTAGGATGCGTTTGGTGGCTGCTGTGTTGGTGTGGAATTTCAATTGGAAGCTTGTTCGGAATTAAATTTTGATCTCGGCAGTTGCATAGGAATGCGAGGTCACATAAAATGGAAGCTCTTTGGACTTCAAGTTTTTCATAAGTCCTGGTCAGATGGTGGGTTTCCTCCCCGTAGAGGTGCAATATTTGTTTTCTGAGGTTCTCGCGGGTATTTGTATGTGGATCTTTGGTTATTCAGGTTTTCTCCCACGTAAGATTGGAAGTATCTAGGCAACGTTTCGATGAAGTCTCATTCATCATCTTCAGGCTTCTGTCTTCATCTCTGTGCTTCTCAGAGTGATGTGAGCTTGCAGCTGCTTCTTCCTTTTAACTGCTAGTGGGGGTGTGACTTGATTGGGTGGGGGCTTGGCTGTGTTCTAATTGGGTGGGGGTGTGTTCTGATTGGTTGGGGGTTTGGCTGTGTTCTGATTGGTTGGGGGGTTGGCCATGTTCTGATTGGCTGGAGGTGTGTTCTGTTCAGGCGGGGGCTTGGTTGTGCTCAGGTTGGTCTTAGTTACTGGGCGGGCGGGCGGTGCGAGCGGAGCCCGGGTCGGCGGGCGGTGCGAGCGGCGTGTGGTGCGTGCGGGCGGTGCGAGCGGCGGGCAGTGTGAGCGGAGCCTGGGTGGGGGGGGGGGCGGGCGGGGCGGGGGGGGGGGGGGGGGGGGGGGCGGTGCGAGCGGAGTCTGGGCGGATGAGCGGAGCCCGGGCGGGCGGTGCAAGCGGAGGCCGCTGAGCGGCAGGAAAAGGGAGCTGGGCAGCGATTTCTTGGCGCGCGGTGGGGGGTCTCTTTTGGCCAGCCCCGATTTTTTTTTCAGAGGGGAATATCATGCCTGTCAATTGGATTCATGTCTGGGGAATGGGCGGGCCAGTCCATAGCATCAATGCCTTCATCTTGCAGGAACTGCTGACAAACTCCAGCCAAATGAAGTCTAGCATTGTCTTGCATTAGGAGGAACCCAGGGCCAACCGCACCAGCATATGGTCTCACAAGGGGTCTGAGGATCTCATCTCGGTACCTAATGGCAGTCAGGCTACCTCTGGCGAGCACATGGAGGGCTGTGAGGCCCCCCAAAGCAATGCTACCCCACACCATTACTGACCCACTGCCAAACTGGTCATGCTGGAGGATGTTGCAGGCAGCAGAAAGTTCTCCATGGCATCTCCAGATCCTGTCACGTCTGTCACATGTGCTCAGTGTGAACCTGCTTTCATCTGTGAAGAGCATAGGGCGCCAGTGGCGAATTTGCCAATCTTGGTGTTCTCTGGCAAATGCCAAACGTCCTGCACGGTGTTGGGCTGTAAACACAACCCCCACCTGTGAACGTTGGGCCCTCATACCGCCCTCATGGAGTCTGTTTCTGACCATTTGAGCAGCCACATGCACATTTGTGGTCCATTGGAGGTCATTTTGCAGGACTCTGGCATTGTTCCTCCTGTCCCTCCTTGCACAAAGGCAGTGGTAGCAGTCTTGATGCTGGGTTGTTGCCCTCCTACGGCCTCCTCCACATCTCCTGATGTACTAGCCTGTCTCCTGGAAGCACCTCCATGATCTGGACACTACACTGACAGACACAGCAAACCTTCTTGCCATAACTCGCATTGATGTGCCATCCTGGATGAACTGCACTACCTGAGCCACTTGTGTGGGTTGTAGACTCTGTCTCATGCTACCACTAGAGTGAAAGCACCACCAGCATTCAAAAGTGACCAACCATCAGCCAGAAAGCATAGGAACTGAGAAGTGGTCTGTGGTCACCACCTGCAGAACCACTCCTTTATTGGGGATGTCTTGCTAACTGCCTATGCTTTCCACCTGTTGTCTATTCCATTTGCACAACAGCATGTAAAATTGATTGTCAATCAGTGTTGCTACCTAAGTAGACAGTTTGATTTCACAGAAGTGTGATTGACTTGGAGTTACATTGTGTTGTTTAAGTGTTCCCTTTATTTTTTTGAGCAGTGTATTTCTACCCCATACTGGAAACCATTATGGACTTTTTGCCGATGCTCAGATTGAAATGTTAATGATTTATAGATTGACATATGTGTAAAGGATAGGTTATGAGAAGAAAAGAGACTTGTATATAGTTTCATGGGAGAAAAAAAATACTAAATTTGTATGTGTGATGAAGATCAGAAGTCACTTCACTGCATCATGGTAGAATTTTAGTTTAGTTAGCATTGTTTTTACAAAGTCCAACAGAGTGTTTTCATATCAATTAAACACATAGCTTTAGTTCTTAGACAATGGTATACAAACTGCAATGACTGAGTTCAAAAGGCATGCTAAACTGAATGCTATTATGGTTAATGTATGAAGCAAGCATGAGTAGGTAAACCTATCAGAATATATTATAATTTATGTCTTTATCAACCTTCACTATTTTAGTCCCATTTGAATCTCTTGTAATAATGTGATGGCAAAGGAAATCTGTGATTCTCTGATTATAGTTCTCATGAAAACCTATTCTTATGTTGCCAGCTGAACAGCTTTCTCTTGAACTCTGTGTCAATGGCAAGACTTAAATAAAAACACTTGCATGCTGTGGCATAAGGATATTTTACTGTTAAGTAAAGTTGTTAGTCAGCAGGTACCTATAAGTTAGCTTCTCTTAATAAGTCTGTGATGTGTGTGTGTGTGTGTGTGAGAGAGAGAGAGAGAGAGAGAGGCAGAGACAGAGGCAGAGGCAGAGACAGAGAGAGGCAGAGACAGAGATACAGAAAGAAAGAAAGAAAGAAAGAAAGAAAGAAAGAAAGAAAGAAAGAAAGAAAGAAAGAAAGAAAGAAAGAAAGAAAGAAAGAAAGAAAGAAAGAAAGAGAGAGAGAGCACCAAATGCTGTCATGCAGTTACTCAATTATGGAAAAGAAAAAAGATTTTCAGCTAGTAATTTATCCTGATTAGTCTCTTCTCCTTCCCCTTCCCCTTTCCTTCTCCCTTTCCTCTCTCCTCTTCCCTCTTTCCCTCCCCCTTCCCTTCTCCCTCTCCCTCCCCCTTCCCTCTCCCCTCCCTCCCTTCTTCCCCTTCCCTCCACTCTTCCCTTACCCTCTGTTGTTTCCATTTTGATGGTTCTTTTTTTTTAAAAAAAATGCTAGTATGCCATTAATATGAAGTTCTAGCTTTTAAAGACTAGAGTGCTATAATCAACTTCTCTGCTTGATTTTTAAAATAGCGTTATTTCATAACCAATTTACAGCTAATGGACTTTTTATTTTGTTTATGATTAGATTAACAGGAAGCTTTGTGCCGGATTTAATCGTTAGCATGAACAATCAGATGTGGCTGCATCTTCAGACAGATGAAAGTGTGGGCTCAGTTGGTTTCAAAGTTAACTACAAAGGTAACTGTAATCCTATTAGAAATTCAACTAAAAAAGGAACACAAATCTTGACTTTCCTTTGGAAATCTGTGTTGTTTAAAATATTTGTTATGAATACAGAACTAAACAGAATACACATACATTTTTTTAAATAGGATACTGTTATAAGTCAATGTGAGTGATTGCCTGTAAGGTTTCTTTCTTTCTTTCTTTCTTTCTTTCTTTCTTTCTTTCTTTCTTTTTCTCTTTTCTGTCTGCAGGTTTTAGCAATGGGAGCTTAAAATTGCTAATATAATATTTGATTCTAGGTATCTCAGATGATGAATATGCAGTTCTTTTGTCTTTAAAGGAATAAAGTCCAAGGCATTTTTATGCAGACTCAAAAAGACATACATCAAATATTTATTTATTTTTTCTTTTAAAGAATGATTCAGGAGGGGAGTTATAAACTTTCTTGGAAGTCTTTTGCTTTTCTACATTATATATGTTTCTGCATAGAAAAGAGAGGAGAAAGAATCCTTCTGGATTTGTTTCTGAATAGCGGTGTGAGTTATTGATCTTATGCAGTGTACCTGATTAATATTTCTCTCCAATTGGTTGTAGAAATGTATTCTGGAAAGAGAGTGGAAAAGCTACAAGGTTCGCTAATGACAAAACTGTCAGTAACACAATGCTCTAAGCAAGCAGACTTGAAAACATGTTCCTTATTGAATCAAGGGAACATTACATACACTTTACTCCAGTCATTCTTTAAAAGAAGAATACTTTTTGTATTTGAGTTTCTGTGCTATTCCTGTATTATTGTAATGAAAGCTAGAATTTGGCAAGTCCACTTTTCTTTTCTCCTGGGGAGTAGAAAGCAAAATTGCTAGATCCTTATATAAACATGCTTAAAGCTTATTATGAAAAATCTTTACATTCAATCGATTTCATATTTCTATAAGTGTCCTTTTATTCTTTGAGTCTGCATATTAAATAATGTTCTTGCTTTTGAAACTGGTGTCAGAGGTACCCATTTGGTAGAAATATAGTCCTCTGAGAAATAGATGCTCCAATTATTATCATAATTCTCAAATACCTTAGAACAGGGGTGTCAAACTCAAGGATCCAGCCCATGTGCTGCTTAGATCTGACCGGTGAGGTCAGCCTGGAAACAGCAAAGGACTGGCCCATGGTGCCCCTGCTAGTGAAAATGGACCATGGGGGACCATGCAGGGCATGGGGAGATCATGCAGCCCATTTTTGGCCTGGACATTCTCCTGCAGCTCTCTGCCAGCCAAAATGCAGCACAGGGGTATGCGTACCCCCTACCCCATTTTGTCTGGCAGGGTGCTGCAGGAGGCCATCCAGGTTGAAAACAGGTCCCATATGCCATCCTTCCTGTCCTGCTCCCACCCTGCCACCCTGTGGAGGACAACTACAATGCCCTCAAAGAAATCCAGATTGATACCCTGCCTTACAATACTTTGGATAGACACGAAAACAAACTAACAAAAAAATGCATTCTAGAACAGATCAATTTAGAGTTTTCACATGAGTCACAAATGCCCAGGCTCATATTATCCTACATCAGACAGATTAGTAATTCTAGAAAAGACAGTAATTCTGAAAAAGATGGAATAAAGAGAAGAAGAGGACAACCAGCAGCAAAATGGACTCAGTTATAGTATGGATGGGTCACTGTTGGAGATTGAATGATCAGATTGAAAGCAGATCATTCTAGTAAAAAAATCTATGTCGTTGCTAAGCATTGATACTGAGTTAATTACTTTGACATCATCAAGATGCAATTTTATTGCTTTGGGTTAGTTTTGGTAGTCCTAAATTGTTTTTTTTTTCCTATTTGTTAATATTAAATTGGTTGATATGGTCATCAAACTGAAAATCATGACACTGTGTGGCTAACATGATACTAGAAAGTACAAACCAACCAATATAAAAGCAACAACCAGAACAGAATGTATTTCATATGGAAATTACAGAAATTAGCAACCAAACTATCTGAACTCAACTAACTTCACAATCTTCATGTCTGAGAATGCAGCTATGCTGCAAGTCATTCCAGAAAAAGCAATATCTGCTTTAAGATATTGCATACAGATGTTCCATTATACATTATAAAGATATTGCACAGTTAAAATAGCAAATCAAAATTTTATAGGAGAAAATAATATATGCTACCACTATACAAATGACTACATGGAAAACATTATTTTCAAAGATCTTTAGTGGAAGTAGATTGATTTTGTTAAATTTCCATTTTTGTTAAGCTTACCTGGTAAACTTGGGATTTTTTTAAAAAATAATTCTCAGGTAATATCAGGTGTTGTCTTATAATTTTACTTTTCTATGTAAAGTCAATATGTAATTCAGTCAATGTAATATTACTTATATTATCTCATCTGTTTGAGAAATTCCCTAGAACAGATTGGAAGAAGGCAGAGGGGACCAATTTATACAGAACTGCAATGAGATTGAATGTACCAAAATAATAGAGGAGTTTAATAGCATGCATATCTAGTGCTATTTATTTTTACTCAATAACAATGTTTTATAATACACTTCCAGAATGAGATTTATGAAACTATCACATCAGAGAGCAAACACGTTGCCTAAATTTGATTTGAGACTTTTTAATAATCTAAATATCATGCGTTGTAACATGGTTGCTTTTCACTGCACAGATGTATAACTCAAATAATGCAATTGCCAATGTTTTGAAAATACTGATGTACAGATGCTATTTTTATTGGAAATATCCAATGGTGTCATTATATAATCAAGCTATGTTATTGAAATATATTCTTAGTTAATATATTACTTGGGTCTATATTCCATGGCATTTGTGAATGTGTTTTGTAAATAGATGCCTAGGGCATGTTTAATTATTCATAAAATTGATTGTTTAATTAATGTTCTACAAAGGAGATTTTAATATGTCACTCTCCACTTTATCTCACAGCCTTTTAATGAAGTTACAAAACAGTGAAACAGATATTTTTTTTTGTTAGAAAAAAATGTTTGTAATAAAAGGACAGATATACATATATTATAATTTTCTGGTCTTTCTGAGCTGAGCTGCTCTGAATTTTAAATACAATACTAAAAAGAATATACATGTTGTAATTAGACTACCACCTGCAAAATAACTTTACATTTATCTCTTTAAAAATTTCTATACAATTTAATATACATTGAGCAAAGGATGGAAGCATTGCTACAAATAGCAGGCAAAATAAAGCAAATGTCATATATTATGGTGATGACAAATAGAGAAATGAAATTATGTCAGGAAATGCCATAATTTCCATAAAGACTGCTACCTAAATGGGATCCTTAATGTTACTGTGATTCTGTTTACAAATCACTGCTAAAATATCCTATACAGAATGAGTTCCCAACCACCCAAGGGGGAAAAGGTGAATTTTAGCTTAATATTTTGAATTAATTTTGAATTATTTTGACATCACTCAGAAACAGAATGGCAGAAAACAACTAATGATCCACAATTAATTAAACTAACTAAAACTAAATCTTTGTTATAGATTAACAAATTTAAATATTTAACGTTAATTACCTAGTATTTTACAATTGACTTATTTAGTATACATCCTTTCTATTTGTGTGATTGCTGGCAAGCACAAGCAGAAAAAGATTTCTGTGTGCATGTATAATTTGTCTCCAAAGGATTTGTTTGTTTGTTTCCCTTCCCTTCCCCCTCCCCTCCTCCTCCTCCTCCTCCTCCTCTCTGTTTTTGGAGAATTCTCTCTCTCTCTCTCTCTCTCTCTCTCTCTCTCTCTCTCT